AGTAACTACAAAAAATAAAAAATAAAAGACAGAGTGAATGGCTTAGAAGCAAACTCCACACCAATAGCTCAGTGCTTGACATTGTACAACTCGCAAGACCACCCAGATAAATAGCAGAATCACCCTTCCCATTTACAAGAGAAAATACGATTATTTGCTTCAGTTAGTAACAAAATAAAAATAGACTCATATATTTCAGCGATGGAAGGAAACCTGTCAAATCCCTTTTTTACAGTTGAGGAAATTGAAGAGAAAAGGTAAGTTACTTTTCATTGGCACATTGCTAAGGGTTTTCTATTATTATGTAGATGAATTAATCATTTTTAAAATGAGGTAAAATGGTTTTATTCATGAACTAAGCAAGTACACGTGCATGTTAGGGATGAAATTGATTGTTCAAAACTCTTTCATGAGCACACTCTCTGTTTCACCTTTTGTTCTGAGTCTGTGAGCTCAGATAGTACTCTCATACTTCGGCAGACGTGAGGCTGCCAGACAAAGTGCTCTGAGAGTGCAGGTAAGTGTGAGAGGATAGAGTAGACACTAAAGGGACCCCTGGATTTCACCGAAATCTCGAGGAACAGAAGATTCACTGGGGACACAACTGCCTGTTGGTAAAGAGCCGATCACTTTGTCCCCAGTGAATCTTCTGTGTTTCTCACAGTTGGAGGTGTACACAGGCAAAGGCGATCCTTATTTAAATCTTCCCAAGATACACAGACGGGTCCTGCCTACCACTGATCTTGGCCTCCACAAAAAATGGGGGTTTAAAAAAAAAAACATGCAAAAGTGAGTTTCTACCTTATTTCTCTTTTCTCCTTCTCTCCTGACAGTTTCTTGCACAATCAAACCTCAATGCTTCCTTCATTTTCCTTTTCAACAGAGGGGCTAATTACTGTTCAACTTTTAGCATACTTCTTACACTGGCTATTTCTTTTTTCAAGCATTTTATACAAAATGCCCAAGTTTGAAATTACAGAAACCTAAAGTAAATAAGAAATACTTTTTCTGCTTTTAAGAAACCTTGTTCTAATTAGGTGGTTCCTTTTGAGGTCCAGATGCTAAGTTGGAAAGTTTTTTGTTGTTTTTTTTCCCTGAAAGAGTAAGATGTAACAAAGTTACGATTTTTGGAACATTTTCTATGTCTGAGTCCTTGTAATGTTTGTTACCCGGCTACTGCTTGTGGAGAATGAGCTGAAAGAGATTGTGGAGGGTACATGGTTAATGACTAAAGTAACAAGACCTAAAAGACAGGAACCCTGACCCTTCCACAGGCTAAGTGGCTAGGCCGGGTCATGAGGTAAGACGATCATGTCTTCAGGCTTCTGGTCTCCCTGGCTAAAACAAAGATGACACTGACCATTAGTTAATGACTAGAGTGATGTTTGTGCACAAAACATAAATTAAGATCTTTAGAAATATTATGAAATAGATAAACACATCAACTGAATTAGCTCTTCCCACTTCTTTGCAAAATATAATTAATCTCTTCTAGAGAAGCCATTAGGAACCGTAAACATGATCTAAGTGAGAAATCATAGATTAGGGGTGAAAAAACATAAAGTGTTGATTGCTCAATATTTCTAGGGAAGGGTACTGGGCTGCAGAGAGCCAGATGGATTCCAGTTAGGACTGACTCTGGCAACTGAGGATTACTGCCTGTTGGTAAAGAGCAGACCAAAAGAGAAGCAGCACCTCAGTGCAAATCATACACATGTGTATGATGTCAGACCCAGAATTGGAGTGGCCAGAGACAGCAGACCCCCAAAATCTAAGTAGATTATATCCACAGACTCTGGACAAAAACAGAATAGCCCACATAAACAATCAACCCTCTAACATATCTAACATACTGAGAGCAATGCCACTGGAACTCTTGAAATGGTGAGAGAAACACAAGCTGTCTTGCTATACATAATTTTATCCACAACAATTTATTATTTTCAAAAAAAGATGGCCACAGAATGCACCTTACAATAAGTCCAGTAGAAATCATCCCTTTTTTTGCAAAGAGTACCTAGTGCTAATAATCCCAAATTAAAATGTATGAGCATAATGAACAGTCATCATCATCATAATATATCTTCCATCACAAAACATTTCACCAAAATCATTCTTGTCACAAGCCCTAAAATCCTGATGTCTGGACAAAGACATAAAATATAGTCTAGTCCCAAGTTTAATATTTTCTGCAGAGGATGTGGTTTTATTTGTTGTTAATCCCAACTCTTGCTGGAACACACTTTTCTAATTCGTCCAGATAGTTGTCAACATGTTGCCCAAGTTGCCCTTTCCTTCCTGGGCTGCTGTTCCTTGTGGTATTTTGCAATAACTCATAAATGACTTGCCTTGCCACTATCTCTGCTCTAAAAAGCAAACTGCATTTTTCTGTCTGTTTTGGAAAATATAAAAATTTTTCAAAATAACAGAGCCACCAGATCAAAGAGGCCTGATCATGTATACAAGCCCAAGAAAGCCACTCCTCACTGAGTCAGAGTTATGAATGAACAGCTTTGGCAAGTTCCCTTTGCAATGGATGTGACAGAACACAATGAGACATGTTCATCTCCTCAAGACTTTTGTGTGTGGGGGGTGTGTGTGTGTGTGAACACGGAGATATAAGATTCAGCCAAATGCATAACCCTCATACCTTATAAGATAATAACACTTGAGATTTCTAACTTCTACTTGGAAGATGTGTTTATTTACAGAGAAGACACAGAAAGATATTCTAGAGACAGAGAAATTCGGGCAACAAATATGTCCTTCCAGCTTTTATAATCCCCCCACCAGTCAGTACCTTTTCATGTATGCCAGAGAGGCTCTAGCATGGTATAGAAACGAAGAGAGAAAGAATACAGATCTGCCTGATGCTGGGACGGGTCAAGAGGAGAGTCTCTCAAAAACTGAGAGGAGTTTCCATGAATTCCAGTATGAGAATGACCTCTGGGGCCAAAAGTGTTTCAAACCTTCTACAGCTGAACTCCACTCCCTTCCTCACACAAACCTCTTCAGAATCCCTGCCTGTGCCCATCTGACCTTGACAGTCTGCCTCTGACAGTCCCAGGTTCTAAGTACTGTGCTTGGTCCCACTGGTGGATTCTCTTCCTACCTTACTTTCATATTCAGCCTCCTCCCTTGGTAAAGTGCTTCATTCTTGCCCCTGTATATTTTTTACTAAATATTTATTGAGTACCTACCATGGTCAGTTACTATTATGTTAGACGCTACTGTCAGAGCCATAAAAATAAAACTCTTTAAGAAGCCAACTATCTATTAGGGGAGGAAAATAAGTTAATAATTACTTAAATGAAAGACAGAAAAAAGTGCAATTGAAGTGGGGAAAAGTGATTTATTCCTACTGGGTTAATTTGAGCATTTCTTGGGTAGTGATTGGCTGAACTTTGACAGATAAAGAGAATTTTCATTGGAAAAAAACATGAAGAATGAAGGACATTCCAGACTGAGGAAGGAGCATCGGCTCTTAGCAAAATAAAGTGCCAAGAAATGTCTACAAGTCCAGGAAGGGTGGAAAATAGTGAAATGAATGGATAAATGTAGACCAGGAGATTTAGGGACAGAAGATGGAGAGCCTCAGATGTAGGCTCAAGAGATGTGGAGTCAGAAGAATGAACACCAGGGTGCTGGTGCCTATATGTAAGAATAGTTTGGTGAATGATGTCAAGTTCTGTAATGGAAATGTTGAATTTGAGCACAGGGTTTCTATTTTTTAAAAGTTCCAGGAGGTAGCTGAAATTCTGGAAGTCACCTTCATGGAGATAGCACTATCTGAAGGCAACTGGATGAAATCAGAGAAGCACACTTGACCTGTTCACTGTTGGGTCACAAGTAACCAGCATAATTCCTAATGCAGATTAAGTAATCATTAAATATTTATTTAATCAATAAATGTAATATAAAAGAAGTAAGTAAGCAGAGGTTGAATATTGAGGAAGGCTTCAATTTATCGAGGAAAGGTCAATGAAAATAGAGGGGAGAAATTAGTAAAAGAAATACATGAAGACTACAATATCTCAAAAACCAATGAAAGAGCAAATCTTAAGAACAAGCAAATGTATTCAATCATTTATTCAACAACATTTTTTGAAAAAACAGGGTCTCACTGTCACCGAGGCTGTGGTGCAGTGACACAAACTCAGCTCACTGCAACCTCCACCTCCCAGGTCCAAGTGATTCTCATGCCCCAGCCTCCTAAGTAGCTGGGATCACAGGCACAGGCCACCACATCTGGCTAATTTCTGTATTTTTAGCAGAGATGGGCTGGTCTCAAACTCCTGACCTCAAGTGATCTGCCTGCCTCGGTCTCCTGAAGTGCTAGGATTACAGGCATAAGCCACCATGCCCAGCCTTATTCAACCAGTATCAACTCCTCCTCTGCATGCCAGGTATTATTTTGTGTGCTGGGGACACAGCAGAAAACAAGACAAAAAAGAACCCTGCTCTTAGAGAGCTCACTTTCTAGACAATAGTTAGCAATGCTCAATGCTCATTGCTTCTGGAGATGTTAAATGGGATAAGAATAAACAACTAGTTACTGGATTGGGCACTTAGAGGACTTTCAATAGTCAATCTTCAGTAACCTTGAATGAGTAGTTTAGTGGAACAGTGGCAGTAAAAGTCACATTTACCATATCTGTTTTTGTGTTTGTTTTTGTCTTTTTCCATTAGCTTTTGAAGGCAGGAACCAACCCTATTCATTGTTGGACTCACACAATAACTGGCAAACAATGCTTGGATGCATATATGAATTAGCAATAAGTGATTAGAAAATATGTGTTTGGTAGTGAAGAATAAGCCCAGAATGAACTTTTAACTCTATCTATTAAATGAACTAGAAAGATAGGCCATTACCTTTTAAGTTTTATTGGTCAGAGTTTGGTTCAAAAAAACCAGAATTCATTTATTTTAGTCCAGGTTTTAGCAGAAAAGCAATGCCAGTATAAGTGATATGGAATAAGGGAATTATTAAAGCGACTGACCTTACGCAATTGTAAAAACTGCTAAAGAATTCAGTGGAAGACTGTTACTGCCCTGTGGGTCTGGTGCAGGCCACCTGAAGTTATAAATCTGTGGAATGGAAAACAAAGAAAAGGTGAGTGAAGTCGGGGAACCAAGAAAGACAAACTGTAACCTGTATCTGTCTCTCAGCATCCCCAGTCTCAATGGGGATGTGCAGAATGCTGGCACACTTCACCACAAAGCTGTAAACACACTGACCTAAGATTCAGAGAAACTGAAGGAAGAGGTCTGACAGGAGCTAGGAGAATTTGGGCCCAGTGGCTGCCTCATGTGGAGGAGCAGCAGGTCCCTTGTACCCTCCACCAGGCTTCAGAGTGTAATACCTGCTACTACACATCCACCTTCCAAATCTTACAAATTTCTTTTGTAGCCAGCCCCAGCTTTATCCTACCAAAACCCATACAGGAAATAAATTCTGGGAAACATAGTTCCAGCTTAGTCAACACATAACAAAGGCATTGCAGTCTGCCCCTTTTCTACATACCTCTTTTAACTATACTTACCTCCCAAATAAAAATAATAACAATGTCATGCCTCTACCTGACATCATACAACTCTCCTCCAACCTGAAACACTGATCCTGTTTGTATCAGAAATATTTGAAGCCCCTTTATCTGTCATTTGGTGATGCTCATTCCTTTTCTACTTGAGTCATACTTCCCCCTTTGATATTCTGTAACTTAGTAAGATACAAGGTTAGGCCAGACACAGTGGCTCACTCTTGTAATCCTAGCACCTTAGGAGGCTGAGGCAGAAGGATCACTTGAGCTTAGGAGTTCAAGACCAGCCTGGGCAACACAGGGAGATGTGCCTATGGTCCCAGCTACTTGGGAGGCTGAGGTGGGAGGACTGCTTGAGCCCAGGAAGTCAAGCCATGACTGTGCCACTGCACTTCAGCCTGGGCAACAAAGTGAGACCCTGTCTCCAAAAAAGAGAGAGGTATGAGGACAGGTGGTAGGGAAATGGAGGAGGGCAAGAAAAGAATTTGTTTATGTGTGTGTTCATATCAAAATAAGAAAGAAACACTCATTATGATGCTTTTATTGCAACTAGTCATATGGTCTTAGCTGATATTTATACTTTTCTTCTTCCATTATCCATTCCATATTCCTTTTGCCTCAGCAGACATCTCAGCTCAGACATATTTCTCCTTGCTGTATGGTTTAGCAGCAACCCTCAACAAGCCAGAATCAATCACTCCAGTCAGTATAGCATCCTCTCTCCTCCCCCAACCACTGCTTATTCATTTGATGGTATGAGGAGCCCAAGTGAACAGAGGGCAAATTCAACTCCCAGTTTAAGGGAACCATGGGTGTATCCCCTGGAGGAAATCTTCCTCCTTTGGGAACTAAGTCTTCTATGTTAGCGGAATACAAAGTCACTGAGATGGGAAGCAAAATTTTCACTAGTAAAACTCTAAGGTTAATAGTAAGTGGAGCTACTCTTATTTCCAATCCTTGATTTCCTGGATATATAAATCCTGGTTATGGAGAGAAAACACCATATAGATTAGGTGCTGCTTTATAGCAGCCACATAAGGTGTTCCCACCCAACTGGCATGGTAACTGAATCTTCTTAAGGCCACTCTACCATTCTATCTGGCCAACTGCTTGAGGGTGTTGGGAATTTTCTAAGGCCAGTGAATTGCATGAGCAGGAACTCATTGCTGCACTTTACTGGCAATAAAGTGAGTCTGGTGGTCAGAAGTAATATTGCATCAAACACTATGATGATGAATAAGGCATTCTGAAAGTTTACAGAGAGTCATTTGGGCAGAAGTAGGAAAGGTAAATCTGTATCCAGAATGTATTAGTTCATTCTCATGCTGTTATGAAGAAATACCCAAGACTGGTTAATTTATAAAGAAAAGAGGTTTAATTGGTTCACAGTTCTGCATTGCTAGGGAGGCCTTGGGAAACTTACAACCATGGCAGAAAGCAAAGGACAAGCAGGCAACTTCTTCACAGGGTGGCAGGACAGAGCAAACACAAGCAGGAGAAAAGCCAGATGTTTATAAAACCATCAGATCTCATGAGAACTCACTCACTATCATGAGAACAGCATAGGGGAAACTTCCCCCATGACTCAATTACCTCCTCCTGGTCTTGCCCTTGATATGTAGAGACCATGGGAATTGCAATTCAATAAGAGATTTGGGTGGAGACACAAACCTAACCATATCATTCTGCCCATGGCCCCTCCTAAATCTCGTGTCTTTCACATTTCAAAATCAATCATGTCTTCCCAATAGTTACTCAAAGTCTTAATTCATTCCAGTATTAACCCAAAAGTCTAAGTCCAAAGTCTGATCTGAAACAAGGCAAGTCCCTTCTGCCTATGAGCCTGTAAAATCAAAAGCAAGTTAGTTACTTCCCAGATACAATGGGGTCACAGGCATTGGGTAAATATACCCATTCCAAATGGGAGAAATTGGCCAAGATGAAGGGGCTACAGGCCCCATCCAAGTCTGGAATCCAATAGGGTAGTCATTAAACCTTAAAGTTGCAAAATGATCTCTTTTGACTCCATGTCTCATATCCAGGGCACACTGATGCAAGAAGTGGGCTCCCATGGCCTTCAGCAGCTCTGCCCCTCTGGCTTTGCAGGGTACAGACCCCATCTTCTCTGCTTTCACAGCTAGTGCTAGGTGTCTGTGGCTTTTCCAGGTACTTGGTGCAAGCTGTGAGTGGATCTACCATTCTGGGGTCTGGAAGACCGTGGCCCTCTTTTCACAGCTTCACTAGGCAGTGTCCCAGTTGGGACTCTATGTGGAAGCTCCTAACCCACATTTCCCTTCTGCACTGTCCTAGCAGTTCTCCATGAGGGCTCTACCTCTGCATCAGACTTCTGCCTGGACATCCAGGCATTTCCATACATCTTCTGAAACCTAGGCAAAGGTTTCCAAACCTCATTTATTGACTTCTGTGCACCTACAGGCCCAACACCATGTGTAAAGTGCCAAGGCTTGGGGTTTGCACCCTCTGAAGCAATGGCCTGAGCTGTACCTTGGCTGCTTGTAGCCACAGCTGGGATGCAGAGCACCAAGTCCTGAGACTGCACAAAGCAGCAAGGCCTGGCCCATGAAACCATTTTTTCCTCATAGGTCTCCAGGCCTGTGATGGGAGGGGCTGCCATAAAGACCTATGACATGTCCTGGAGATATTTTTCCCATTGTCTTGGTGATTAACATTTGGCTCCTGATCACTTATGCAAATTTCTGCTGCCAGCTTGAATTTCTCCTCAGAAAATGGGTTTGTCTTTTCTATTGGATCGTCAGGCTGCAAATTTTTTGAACTTTTATATTCTGCTTCCCTTTTAAACATAAGCTCCAATTCCAAAACATATCTTTGTGAAAACATAAAACTGAATGCTTTTAAGAGCACCAAAGTCAACTCTTGAATATTTTGTTGCTTAGAATTTCATTCTGCCAGAAACCCTAAATCATCTCTCTCAAGTTCAAAGTTCCACAGATCTAGGGCAGAGGCAAAATGAGCCAGTCCCTCTGCTGAAGCATAGCAAGAGTCACCTTTATTCCAGTTCCCAACAAGCTCCTCATCTCCCTCTGAGGCCACCTCAGCCTGGACTTTATTGTCCATATCACTATCAGCATTTTGGTCAAAACCATTCAACAAGTCTCCAGGAAGTTCCAAACTTTCCCACATCTTCCTGTCTTCTTCTGAGCCCTCCAAACTGTTCCAACCTCTGCCTGTTATCCACTTCCAAAGTTGCTTCCACATTTTCAGTTATCTTTACAGCAGAATCCCCCCACCTTGGTACCAGTTTACTTTATTAGTCCATTTTCATACTGCTATAAAGAACTTCCTGAGGCTGAGTAATTTATAAAAGAAAGAGGTTTAATAGACTAACACTTCAGCATGGCTGGGGAGGCCTTAAGGAACCTTACAATCATAGTGGAAGGCAAAGGGAAAGCAAGACACCTTCTTCACAAGGTGGTGGGAAGCAGAAGTACAACCAGGGGAAGTTACAGATGCTTTTAAAACCATCAAAGCTCATGAGAATTCACTCACTCTCATGAGAACAGCATGGGGGAAACCACCCCCGTGATTCAATTACCTCCACCTGATCCCACCCTTGACACATGGGGATTATGGGATTACAATTCAAGATGAGATATGGGTGGGGACACAAAGCCTAACCATATCACAGAGTAAGTGTATATTCAAGTGAGAATGAGTGCTGCCCCTTCCACAGTTGAAGTAGTCCAGTGTAGTCAAATTGCCAATAGCCAGATGGTCCCTGGAGAATTCTGCCATATTGAAGGCTAGATGTTGTTCTCTACTGTTGCCGGCTGGAAAATCTGCTATTCTATAGTTGCATTCCCTTTAGTGCATGGAAATCTGTGTTGCTGAGACTATACCTAACCTCTATCCTTGCTGCTCTGGCCACTTTATCCATGAGCACACTGAGCAAGGACAAAGGTGGCTGGGGAGAACCAAATGGAAGTTCACCAAACTTGTCTACCCGATTACTGAGTTCACCCTGACTAAGGCTGCTCTTTGGTGAGCATTCATACAGGACACAAATATATTAATGTTCTGCCTACTTGGAAAGATCTATCCACATATCTCTTCCCCAGATTGCCAATTGTGTTCCTTCTGAGTCTTTGAGAGTCTAATCAAACCATTAATCCTCATTCATTAATCAGGACATCTCTTTGTCCAGGCCAAATGAGCAAGTGTGTACAATAATCGGTGTTCAACTGGGAGGCCTTCCCTTCACTGCTGTCCTTCAAAGCCAGCCAGAAATAGGGTTATAGAACTGTCAATATCCACATTCAGGTGATGCCAACATATCATAAAAAACCTTCTAAAAACTAGGCCCAAATTTTCTAGCCAGCTTAAGTAGAAAGGGAATTTTATAAGAAGTTATAAAATGGCTTGCCAAGTAAATGGGAAACTTGAAAAGACAGACTCAAGGCTAAGCTTCCAGGAATGACAGAACCAGGCCACCAAGGAAGCCAATACCTCTGCCATGACCAAAATGCTATAAAATCAGGAAGCCTCCAGGTGAAATTGGAAATCATCACT